ACTTGCAATTCAAAGTAGGGGACAAAATCTGGCTCTCCGCCAAATGCTTTGAACTCGAACATGGATTGTCAAATAAACTCTCGAACAAATGGCTCGGACCCTTCCCCATCATTGAAAAAACCTCCGACGTCAACTACAAACTCCAACTCCCACCCGACATGAGCCGCGTCCACCCGGTCTTCCACATCGAATACTTGAAAGAATATCATGAATCCCCACCCCAATTCGCTGACCGCCCATATCCTAGACCTCCACCTATCACGTTACCCACAGGCCCGGAATTCGTTGTTGAAGCAATCATAGGTCGACGAACTACTCAGGTATCTGACCACCCAGAACCATCGAAGAATCTACATGGGAACCTCTCTCGAATCTCAAGAATGCCATGAAAATTGTCCGTGCCTATGATCGTGCTACTCCTATGTCCTAAACACCCACGTAACTACAACCCTAAACCCCTGAATAAACCGTGCTACAACCTCGCAACCCCGTTCTACACACACCCTTGAACCCAGTCCACCCTCCCCTCGACCCCGATTCCTGATGTCTGATCTGCCCTGGCCCTCACCTAGCCTTGTCCCATATGTCCTCTCCACTACCTTGTCTCTCTTGTCCAATGCTTATGAACCTGCGTGACGCTGGCAATAAAGGATCTAATAGCAAGCGCACGAGGAAGATGGCCTGCTGCCTCACTGTTCAATGGAGATTATGCAGCTGGTTTGGCCACCATGCTGTTTCATCGGCCGGCATCCCGACTCGCGGACTTACTGGAGCAGCAACTTGTGACATGGATCTTTGCATCAGTCTGCGACTTCCTTGCTTCCAGATCAGACCTCATAAGCAGTTCGTGTACCGGACGCACCTTAGCACTTGGATTTTGGACATTTGAACTACTGTTACGCTTCTTGGACTTCTACCTGTCGCAGCCGCTGAAGACCGCTTCTACCACCTACTCCAAGACCTGATCAAGACCGCTGCAGATCCCCTTTCAAGACACTGGGACACTTTGTTCCTACATGAGATTCTGCTTCCGACTCCTTCGGACACACCAGCCCTTGCCTCCTGAACAAACATTTTCATTTTTATTTTATTTTCCTGACTTTGACAACCCTGTAGAACATTATTAGTAGATCCCTGTGTCCCTGACCATTGTTCCCCTTACCCACTAGAACATCAATAGAAATTCCCTGTTCCCCTGACCATTGTTTCCCTTACCCACGAGAACATCAATAGAAATTCCCCATTTTCCTGAACATCGTTTCCCCTACCCAGTAGAACATCAATAGAAATCCGCTGTTCCCTGAACATTGCTTAGCTTCCCCTTCAAGTAAATGCTCCTTTAGCTGGGTTGCAGTGCCACACCCCACTAATCCGCAGTAGCGGCGTTACCGTTTCCTGTTCTCCTTCTTTTGCTCCCTGGTGATACACATCTCCTGCTTCGTGACAGTGTCAGCGCTGTTCTTCGTCATCGTACGGCAAGTCACACACAAATCAAACAGCAGGGCAAACGAAATCAGAGCGTGAGTCGGAATACCTCAGGATAATTTAACACCCATCCAACAACTTTCCCACTCTTCCCCCTATTCCCCGACCTAGTAATCTGCCCCGACCCTTTAGTCCGACGCTAACTGATTGGATTTGTTTGAGAGAATTCCGTTCATCGAGTTAATGTCCGGAGCAGGTCTAGAACAGCCCGCATCTGTTTCTTGAACTTTCTTCTGGTATGAAATGAATTATGTCCATGTATGGGACGCTGGACCGTTTTCCAGCAGGTGTTGCTCCCCACCAATAGATGGAGCCTCCCCCCCAGGTGCTAGCGGTGTCTGCTCTTATCAGCACCACTAGCACTGGTGGGGGCGTGTTTTGAAAAAAAAACAAAAAAGAACAGAGTGCATAGGTCTAACCGGCCTGGGACGGGCTGTGCAGGTGTGGAACAGCTTTGCAACTGGCTGCACAGATCTGGATAGGTCTGGTACAGACCGGCACAGGTGTGAACAGGTCTGGAGCGGGCTGTGCAGGTCTGTGTAGGTCTGGTACAAGCCTGTGCAGATCTGGAACATGTCTGGAACACATATCAAACAGATCTGGAATGGTCTGGTACAGACCTGCACAGGTCTGGAATGGTGGGTACAGACCTGCACATGTCTGGAATGGATGAATGGATCTGCACAGGTCTAGAACAGCTCTGAAACAGGTCCGAAACAGGTCTGGAAAGAACAGATGGATGAAAGGAGGGAGGAAGGGAGTGAGGGATGGAGAGGTGGATGGATGGGTGGAAAGCAATCGCTCAATCCATGCAGTCGATGGGCTGATTGATTTATTAATTGGTTGATTGATGGATGGATCAATCAAACCCAGTCAATCACTCAACCAATCCAATCCCTCCCTTCCTCCCTGACTCGCTCCCTCCATCCCTTCTCCCTCCCTTCTCCCTCCCTTCTCCCTCCCTCCCTCTGTTGGTCCATCCATTCATTGTTGAAGACAGGCAACAACTTCCCGAGCATCCAAAATTTTCACACATGCTACGAGATTGCATTCCAAGAAATGCTGAAGAACATCAATTAAGAAATGCACGTGTTGTTTCCAAGAACTTGATGTCATCAATATGATTGCGAAAGCAAGATCAAATCATCAAACTGAAGCGCGAAGCCGAGGACCGATCAAGAAATGCAACAACGCAATCTCAAAAGCAGGATGGAGCATATTCCGTTGTTAAGCACTAATCAGCCAAAATGAGAGAGAGAGATGAGCTTAACAATGTGGAAAAGGTCAGGAGTGGGGGGCCGGGGGTGAGGTGAACCTGTTCCAGCAGCTGGATCCTGAAGATGGCAGGCCTCCCCACTGAGTACCCGCAGGTCGGTCGCACGGCTCATCGTCAGGCTGCAGAGGTGTACCCCTTCGCCCCCTCCTCCCCTAGCTCTCTCTCTTTCTTGTTTGTGAACTGTTCCAGCAGCTGGATCCTGAAGATGGCACATCTCCCCAGTAAGTATGCGCAGGTAGGTTGCCTCCTCGTCCTCATGCTTCGGAGGTGTATGCCTCCCCCTCCTCCTCCCCCGGCCTTCTCTATCTCTTTCTCATTTGCGAACGGTGACGGCGATGGACGACAGTCGAAGAGGGGAGCATCCCAAGGGTGAAGCTGCGATGAAGAAAGCTGCAAGGAGGACGAGAAGGGAGGGAATGCAACGAGGAAGGCCTATTCAATTCAAGTTTGCCTTGTTCCCCCCCCAAAAGGAAGGCCGGTCTGAAAACTAGCATAAAACTTGGAAAACGTCTATGCAGAATGTCCCTGTCCCACCCGGTTTGGGAAACGTAAACGGGTCGGGAAAACACCCGAAACATTTTTTCTGGGTGACCTGGAATGAAGGAAGGGTCCAGGCAGACTTTTTTTCGTGTTTTCCAGATTCCGCCCCTGAACTGGGCTCGTCGGAACAGGTCCGGCCGGACATCCAGATGCTGACAGGTGGGATGGTGATCCGGGAGTCGGATCCTAGCCATGAAGCCATTCAAACCCCTTTAACCCTCTATAGACCCCCTAAGGTGAGACATTACCATATTCGAAGATAAGGCCGGATTTGGGCAGATCGTAATGGGTGGAGAAATGCCCCACCAAGAGCATTTGAAACAAAAAATGAAAAGGAAACCTCAGTTTTTAGCTGCGTAGGTGACCCAGGCAGGCTGGATGAGGCTAGCCAATTTGTCAATGTGGACAAGGTGTTAAGGTTCCTCATCGTATAATGCTTTTACTCCGTAGTAGTAGATACTTCATACGGTTCGGGCACTCTGACGACTTTTGAATGGGAGGGTAGAATTTCTGCTCCTGCTTTTGCTATCCATTTTTCCACGGAACGCAACTCATCACGCCAAAATCAAATTCACTTCTGTAACGTTCTGTTGTTACAAATTCCTTTTCCTATTCTGAAACTAGAATAGTGCCAAGAGTGGAAGCTTCTCTAGTGATCACACATCAATGGATGATGTAAAAGTGATGGAGAGAGGAGATAGATGATGAGGATGGGCAGGGCAGTTGTAAAGGCCTGGAAAAATGTAAGGGTAACTCCAGTTTCTTGTGCAGGTGCTATGCGCGCCAACTTGAAAACACTGACCGTTTGAGTTTCTGGTCATGCCACTGCATTATACAGAGGCTGCAAAAGATAAGTGCAGGAGCAGTTTTGAAACCTTTCGTGCTGGGATGCTGCGGTGGTTGAAGGGGGAAAAGCTGAACCCTCCTGCTTTTCATCTCCAGCATATCAGGTGCTTTTGTGAAACGGGTGGGGTGGCTGGGCTTGATCCCCTGTAAGGGTGTGGGCAGAACAGAAAATCCGGAAAACTCTGGTAAAAATGTTTTATGCCAATACAAACAAGTTTTGGCTGAAAGTCTGAAAGACACTTTCCAAAATTCAGTATTGAAATAAAATTTATAAAATCTAGGAACTAGTAGGAAGTCTTTCCAAAGTTTCCATGCATCCGGGCTGCCAAGGGTGCCCGAACACACACGCCTGAATGCCTGCCGCACATGACCCTCGGGTGGGGTTCCCGGTAGCCCCAGCACCAAAATACGATGAAAAAATTCTGGGAAAAAAATATGTTGTGTAGAATTGCAATGCAAACGACTTTTGGCTCAGGGTCACCTCAGTGTTGCGTGCTTAGTCGATGATAGAAAATAAAGTAGCGAAATCAGAAGAAGGCACCCAGCGTTGAACCCCTTTATTAGCCACTTTAAAACGCATTTATAGTATTTTATACCTCCCTTCCCCTCCCTTCCCCTCCCTTAAAGGACAACACTGAATAACAAAGAGCCCGCTCTCGGTAAGCGCGAAAGAGCCCCACTGCCCCCCTGCAATGGACATGGTTGGGGAGGAATGTTGTCCATGTTTCCGGGAATGGACACACGGCGAGCTTCTGGTTGTGGAATGGCACTAAGTCCTTCAGTAGGCAGGATTGTGCACAGCATGTTTTTTTTATTCATTGTATGTTGCCTTTGTATTTGTTGCTGGTGTCAGATTTTCTGTTGCCTATGCAGCTCTCCGGACACCGATCCAAACAACGACATACTACTTTGTGATGGAGAATGTGATCGTGGATTTCACCAGCGGTGCCTTGACCCTCCTCTAGCCACTTCTGACAGTGAGTGCCTTTCAAAAGCCTTCAGTACAATTTACTGTGTTCATGTATGTTCATCTGCATTTGGGGATGTATGCAGTCTTTGGGCACACTCTGGTGTGTGTGTGTGTGTGTGTGTGTGTGTGTGTGTGTGTGTGTGTGTGTGTTTGTCAACATACCCAAACTCTCTCTCTCTCTCATTCCGTCCACATGCCATCACAAACCTTCCATAAACAAAAAACGTGTAGATGAGCAATATAATAGAAGGTGCAAGGTTGAGAGAGAGAGAGAGAGAGAGAGAGAGAGAGAGAGAGAGGGTACAAAGGGTGCAGCTGACACAGAAGTAAAGGGATCTGGATGGAATGAATGGAGAAAGGGACAAATGTATGGAGACGAAGAAACGACGGCAGAAGTCAGTGCACAGGGTGCGGGAAACGGATAGGGTGGGTTGACAAGAGGCACATTGCTGATGTTAGCCCTTGCATCAAGAACCTCACAGCTGTTCTCTTTTCAAGAGCGGATCCAGCTGGGTATTACATTACTCTAGGGTATTAGCTGAAATGCAGGCCATACCAGATCATTAGGACATTTACTTGTTCTCAGAAGGCATGGTGCAATTTAAGAGTGCAAAGTTTGCGGTATGCCAGCTGATTATCTAGATGTGGTGTTGTTCTTTCACTTCTTTTCTTCCCCCCTGGGCCCAATTCCTGTTATATTTTTGAGGCAATGCCTGTTCGTCCGGCAAAGCTTGCCCTTACCCATTAGCCACAGGCTTTTAGAATTGCTTCTCATACCAACCCTGACTACATTATTGTTTCTGGGTGTTTGACCCAGCGTTTATTTTGCTGTCGAGTTTCACTGTAGAGTCTAGGCTCCATTTCCTTTCTTGCTTCTCTTGCTTCTGACTTCTATGCGGGCTTATCTCTATCTGTGTGCTGTGCATGTGAACGCTGCACTGCCATGAACCCGCTTAGCACTCACTCTGGCATGTTGCCACTTCCGAATAACACTTGACCCCCCCGTCTTACGGCGGCTGCTGGTACTGGGGATTCTTCTTCGGTTTATGTATAATCTCACTACTGATGAAAGAGCTTTACAAGATATATATGTCCCCTTCTTCACTCACGCGATATTGCTGGATCAGGCTTTCGCCCATCGTCCAAGATTCCCCATCTACTCTGCATGTGAACCTTGCACTGCCATGTACCCACTTAGCACTCACTCTGGCATGTTGCCGCTGTACCAATAGGCTGGCAAACATTTACTGTCTGTCTTGCGCGGACGGTCATGAAGACCGTTGCTGCGTGTGACGGATGGGGCGGCATGTGCTGTGTTATCCACAACGCCCTTGGGTCCTTTGTTAGTAGCCAGAGACTTCCATTATGATGACTCGGAAATGGTTCTTTCAATAACTCCGTGATTGGTGAGAGGGAGTTACCATATCACCAGGTCGAACACTCCCATGGCTTGAAGGAGATCTCACCAGTTGGTGGCACACGCGAAGTCGGCCAATCGTGCGATTGACTCCAAAGTGTCGAGTGGCAGAAGCATCGTGGAACTCGCCAAGAAGCCGTGTATGCAAGTGAGAGTCACTCGGTATGCAAAGAAGGTCCTTCCCCGCGTGTGGACAAGCAAGTATCCCTCTTGGATCCGGTAGTGAGAAGGCGCCGGATTAGGAGAGGAGCAAGGTTGGTGCTGGATGGGAAACGTGAACCCGAAGTCTGCCATGCTCGAGGAATCTCTTCCGGCCATCAGGGTTGCAACATTGTCACTGCTGTGACCTCCTGCCTGTTCTGCCGACCCGACAGCGGCATCTTGGAGACTTCCATGGAGTGTTGCTGCTGCTGCATCACAAATTCACCCCGAAACTGGGCGCAGTTTTATGTAAATGGGCGTTTTAATAACCGCGCCAGATCAGGGGGCCTTTTCCCTCATCTCGAGCCACTGCTCAGCTCCTTGGAGTACAGCACTACTATCTGAACCCGAGCATATTATGGGCCGTCCCTCGCTAGTGGAACTGTGTACTTCATGGGAATCATTTGGATAGCTTGGGGACTAACTTACCAGCGATTGCCAGCAATTATGGAGAACCATGCCACAGGCAGTGAGCAGGAAAGAAAGAGAGCTAAGTGTTGATCAACTATGCAATCGGTATTGGCAACCCACCCTAAAAGTCAGCGATAGTCAAGGATGATGTCAATGTGGAGACATAAAAAAGAAGAGCACTGGGAATGGCAAGAACATCTTGAACAGTCCGATCACGGCAACGCTAAGGGAGATCATGCAACCCCTCGAAAGGGAAATATTTGACTTGGTGTAATGAACATGGGAAATTTTGTAAAAGAGGTTCAGCTGGGCTGAATGGATGACCCACATAGCAGCGGAAGGAGAACCGTAGGCAGCCAGGGACTGTCTCAGAAGCATGTGTCCCCACTCCTCACCCAGCACTCAGAACACAGCTCAGTCTGGCATTCATTGGGCTAATGCATGCTGGAAAGGCTGCTCATGGTGTAATTACCCACCTGCAAGTCTTATCAATTTCTGAGTAATAATAACAAGTGGACCGGCCGCAGCCACGCTGCGGCCAAAGCGGGGGGGGAGAGGGGGGGGCAAGGAGACGGAGGAGATCGTCCTAGAATGTTGACGTTTTTTTTTTTTT